AGTTATTCTGATCAGTGATCGCGTGAATCAATTATGAACAGCATGAACAGGCCAAAGTTGACCTATTCCACTTTTACACGACAGCTAAACTCATAAATGTTAGCAATGGTAACATGCCTTACAATCTTCCAATGACAATGGTCCTTGAGAACACTGAAAAGGGACCATTACATTGAGGTAGAAGCTTATTAAATAGTTATCTAATCAGAGACGAACTCTATACCAAGTAGAAAATATTTCATTCCACCTTAAAATTGTCACGCATGATAATAGTTTATAATCATCAAAAGAAAAACAGTGCATAGCAAAATATAAAGCATGTTCGGGATGCGATTCTCCCCCTCGAAATGTAAAATATTGCTTCAGAATTGGGTTGCATCGACACCGAACTAATGATAGGGAGTGAAGAAGTTGAGCGTGTCGACCGCTTCACTTATCTTGGAAGTCTCATCAGTCCTTGCGTTTTGGTGTGTGACGAAATCTCAGTACGGATACAGAAGGATCGAATAGCTTTTGCCAACTTGCGTCATTTATGGCGCGAATTTATTTCACTGGATTATACTCCTTGAATAACATCTTCAAACCCTAATCTTTCCGATTACTGCTTATACTTTTACTACCTCTACCACTATGGGATTTGAATCGACAACTGCATGTCTGTGCTAATGTGGTATGGCGACTCGAACTGATGTACGTACGTACGTACGAAGTTCTACGTTGTTACTGACTGACTGACTTGAATGATCAATATGTTTAGTTCATTTAGATGTTGAAAATGACAATGAAAATTTCGTAATTAAACCATCTAATTTAGGGAACTTAACAATATGAAAAAATAAAAGTAGATCTAAATGAATGAACTCTTATAACTACATTTATATGGTTAAATATTAGTTAAATCCTTTTATATTAACTTAATAGATAATTTTATTTGCATAGTAACAATTTGTCTATTTCTTTGTACTATTATAATCACTAGATCATATGAAATACTTTAGCTAAAATGTTGATTGCTTAAATATCATCCTTCTCTCTATGTATATATGTACTAAAATCCTATTGTTAGTCCTTGTTTTGCCTTGGTGCTCTCTTATGCAATTTGACTATAAATTTGCCTATGTAATTACTCGTATATACATATTCGTCTCTCCGCTTCAAATTCACTTGATGTGTATATAGCTTTATAATCAGCGCTATCCGCTAATAAACTGTAGTTGCCGCTTCTCATTAATATCTGATTTTAAATATCGTTGAGAATTTATAGTATAACAGTTATCCAAGTGATTGATTAATGATACAAAGCCACTAAAAACGGCATGTTATCAGCAGAAACTTTCACAAAGCAAACTAATCATAATTTAGTTTATCATATATTTCATGATTATACTATTATGAAAATTATTAGAATACACTAAAAACTAATGACAAATAAAGTGCAGCCAGTGTTTTAGTAGTTAAAAAATAAAGCACATACCATCAGTTCAGGTTTACTTTCGTTTAAAATAGATTATGATTTTATTGATAATGAATTCTAGAACACTGAATTCATGGAAGTAGTTAATTCAATGTTAGTAATATATAGAAGAAACATTGTGTATAAGGATATAATGCAAGAAGAAAGAATGAGTTCGTAGAGTTCAGAGTTGAAAAGAAGAAAAAGAATACATACACCTACGCCATTATGATCCATTTTGAGCCATGTCATTCACAGTCTACAACCATTGGTTACGATAGTCACACGGACCACAACCAAGTAGAATGCATCTACCAACATGACTGGTTGCCCCTAACTTCCTTCCAACCATCCCCAACACTAGTCAGCATTGCGTGTCGTAATCAGTGTTCAGGCATATACAACACGTAGCCCAACCATCTCAGTTGATGGAGATTCACAGCCTAATCGACTGATTTACCATCATTCCCTAATACCCTACGCCTCACCCCACCATTACTTACCCGGTGGTCCCAGCAGATGCGAGCAATATTTCTAGAGCATCTGTGATCAAATACTAGTAAATTACGGGTATCTTCTACTCTTAATGACCACGTTTCGCAGCCATAAATTCGAACAGAACGAACTGCCGCACAGTATACTCGTCCCTTAATTGATAGACGGATATCTCGACCTCGCTATAGGTGACGTAAGTTGACACAAGCCAAACGAGCTTTCTGAATCCGTGCTGATATTTCGTCAGACAATAACCCATTAGGGCTGATCATAATTCCAAGATAAGTGAAGTTGTCGACGTGTTTGACTACTTCACTCCCTATCCTTAGTTCAGGTGTTAACACAAGCCAGTCCTGAAGCAACGACTTGCATTTAGGGGGGGGGGAGAAACGCATCCCAAACATCCTGGCATTGTTGCTCAGTGCTACCGAAATACTCTGCATTTATCAGCATCTTCATCAAACAGGACTATGTTGTTTGCGTATTCTAAGTCGATACGTGAACCTCCTGGAGAGAGATCAATGTCCGAGAATTCAGTCGACGAGAACGTTATTTCCTGTAGTAGGTCTATAGCGAAACTGAACAAAAATTGAGATAGTGGACAGCCTTGACGGACACCACTTGAGATTGCAAAATCAGATGACAGTTCGCCATAAGCTCTCACTCGATTAGTAGTGTTCGAGTAAAGAGCCTTTACAAGGTTTATGTACTTCTGAGGTATGTCTTTCAATGACAGACACTGATACAGAACCTCTCGGTCTGCAGAGTCAAATGTAACTTTTAAGTCAAGAAAGTACACCATTATCGGACGCCGGTAAGCATGTTTGTGCTCTCAAACCTGATAGAAACGACAGCAATAAAAATCAATTCTACGAGAAAATGAAATCAATCATAGCAAAGTGCTCAGGAAACGACCTGATCATCATGATGGGAGACCTAAACGTCAATCAATGACAAAGTTGTAGATTCTTCTCTATCTAAAAGCTTTGATAGTTTATATCATATTTATACAGGTCAATTACATTTGATCAATACACTATAGAAGTTTTATAATTAATCACTTTAACACAAATGTATTTCATTAGATAGCAAAAATTAACAACAAAAAAATTTAACAATTCTGATTGTTCAAGGTTGACAATACTAATACTCTGTGATGGAAACATTTCAATGAATGATGAATAAGAAATCAATATTAATAACTCTCTATGTAATCTGTTAAACTATATTACTTTTATGCAGTAATGCCAAGTTTATCAATAACAAAAACATTCAACAATCACGTGTAATAAAACATTGACACCGAAAACTAAAACATTCATCTTAATCTTATAAAGCAATTCATTATATATGTGTTTATTCATATTAATACTAATATAGTTGAGATATATGAATGGTCACAAATCAATTTGATTAGTTATCTTCAATTTTAATATGATTTTCATGTGCGAAAATTGATATACACTGATTGACTTATTCATTTCTATGTAAGTTTATTTACTTATTTACTTACGCCTGTTACTCCTTATGGAGAAGCATAAGCCGCCTGTAGCGCTTTCAGAGTTACCATTAGTCCTAAGCATGGTTAAAGAAGGAGGGTTGGGCATAGGGTCAGCAACCCTAACCGGCAGGAAAAAGTCTTACTAAAAAACGTCGACCAGACTAAACTCTGTAAATCGACTGATGAAACGGTGAGACTATAATTTGTGGACATCCTTTGGACGACATTAAAGTCACCTTGAGAGTGTCCACCTGTTAACTAGGACCAAATATGGGTTATAAATTAGTGTGAGGAATTTGAATTATGATTTATGGTTAAGGTTAGGAATTAGATTAAGGGTGAACGAATTTCACGCCAAAATCCGAGACTTATTATCTTATATCTGATTGGTTCGTACATAGATTGCAGCCTCGCCGATGAAATTATTTAGTCTAATTGAAGTGTTCATGAATTCAATAAAGGCAAATAAAGTCTTGATACGCCATACATCCATGCAGTTTGTAGATTAAGTGTAGTGAATATGCATCTATATCTGGTTAGTCTTCAAATGACCTGATACGGCTGAGAGTGAGGAGTGTCAGCTCTCCCTCTCGAAATGCTCTCATATGGCCACGTGCATACAACCACTGTTAGGAAAATCCTGCTCACTGGCTTCTCGCCGCATCATTATTGTTTAAGAAACTGGGAGAACAAAAAGAGAATGTCCGGCGCTTTAACCGGATTGATAGATACGGACAATCCATTTGGGGGAGTTGGAAATCCCTGATTCCAAACCAATGGTACACATAGACTCCACGATCCTTCGTAACGAGTATCAGAAAACTCCTCGAAAAAAGCCAAGAAAGACTCTGAAAACATTGAGAAGCATCTTATCCAATCAGCGTTCACTAGGAGTTTTGTCACAAACATCTAGAAAGTGAAAAGTCACATGTCGACTTTCTGATTGAATGATTACTTATACTGCCACTATATTTAGCAGCGTTCCAAAATTTTCCGAAAATCCAATGACATCTAAAATACTATAAAATTCCTAGATTTTCTGTAGATAAGCGAACCTTTGGAGTAAAGTGTTTCTTACATATTTCGGGCTTTTTCTCTTGTGTTCAAATCTATGTGTAGATCTAGCCTCGAGGTTACTAGAAGAGCTTAAGAACCAAATCTAGCGTTCAATTAACAATTCTGAAACAACAAATGGTGTATAAACCTATTGTTGATCACTGGTTATCATGGGACTGCATCTCCTTACATTGCTCCACTGCCTTGTAGATCAGCTATTAGGTTAAAGATTCCGGGTGTGACCCCCTAAGAAATCCGCCTGCTTTGGTTCGAACCCATTCACAAATAAAGTAACTTTTCTGGTACCCATCTGTTTAGTGCAAGAAAACGAAAGTATATCTATGTATATGTATATATATATGTATAATATGGCAAAAAGAAGGGATACAACATTTCTATAATCAATTTCAAATTTGCTGCGAACATTTTATTCATAAACTATACTATTCAATAGTATTCATATTCATAAAAGAATGAAAACAAAAGAAGATCTCTTCATTGTATTGTAATTATTCCATAATGTTCTAATGATTTTATAGCATTTTTTATTGTATCATTTATCATCATCTTATCAATAGAAATAGGTAATGGACCAATTGATATAGAACCAAAATAAATAGAAAAAAATATAAAACCAAATATAGATAAAATAATAATGAATAATAAACCAATATACAAACCTAATTTAACATTTGGATTTTGTTTTAATGAAGTAATCTTTGCATAATGTTCTTCTGAATCGAAATTATTATCATCTTCTAATACTAAGTTGCCCAATTTCTTCTCATTATCAGCTATATTAAGATCACTTGATGTGATGACATAAATTTTCTTATGATTTGGATGTATATGAGTTGTGAATTATGACATAATTTTAAACAACAACAATGATTACATTCTATATTAGAACATGGATGATCAGCACAACCGCAAAACCATAAACATATATTTTTCATAATTTTATACCAATCTGATGATGAAGTTTGGGATGTTTTTTTATCTGGTAAATCATGATCTATAATAAATAAACAAGAAAGAAAATTCTCACCAGAATAGACTTTAGTTATGATGTACAATCATTATATATGAAATAAGTATGTCAGTCAGCTATAACGTAGGATCAGGCATATATATATATATATGTATCGGTCCAAATTGCCACACATCACTCATTAACACAACAAAATGAACACCAAATTCATAAAAGTAGTTAAGTCAATGGTAGTAATATATAAAAAGAAAGTGTTACATATGAGGATATAATGCAAGAAGAAACGATTAGTTCGTACAAAGATATGAAGCGACTTTAATCCCATAGTTTAAAGGAAGACACAGAATACATACACCTACGCCATTATGATCCATTTTGAGCCATGTCATTCACAGTCTACAACCATTGGTTACGATAGTCACACGGACCACAACCAAGTAGAATGCATCTACCAACATCACTAAGACTAGAAGTTAGTGACTTCAAGGTCTGATGCCAGGTTTTGGTTTCGTCACCACCCCTAAATGTCCTGGTACGGTCGAGAGTAGGGAGAGTCAGTTCTCCCTCTCGAAATGCTCTCACATGGCCACGCGTATATACCCTCTGCCAGGGAAGTCCTACTCACTGCCTTCTTGCACCACGGGTGTTGTTTACGAAAATGAGAGGAAAAGCGAATGTCCGGCGCTTTAACCGGATTCTAAACCAATGGTGCACATGGGCCCCAGTATCCTGTGGGAACAAATGGCGTATGAACCAATCGTTGGTCACCGACTACCATGGAACTGCATCGCCTGACGATGCTCCACTACCTTGTGGGTTAGACCTTCAGGTCGAAGGCTCGGGGAGTGGCCCTTTAAGAAAACCACCTGGTTCGGTTTGGGTACCCGGGCAGTATCACATCCCTCACACATATCGAATGAGATTTGTGTGCCGTATATGTATTTGGTGCCTCCTTGTACCAATATCTATGTGTTAAAAAAATAAATAAATAATTTTGGTCACCCCTAATTTCCTTCCAACCATCCCCAACACTAGTCAGCATTGCGTGTCGTGATAATCAGTGTTCAGGTATATGTAACACATGACACAACCATCTCAGTTGATGAAGATTCACAACCTAATCGACTGATTTACCATCATTCCCTAATACCCTGTGTCTAACCTCACTATTACCGAGTAGTTTTCCGCGTCGGGAAAATATCATAAATAGTAAAGTTATGCAACAGTTATCATTCAGCTATTAGTTCCATATTATATGTTGAATATACAGCATTAAATTCATCCATAAAATATCTCATTTATACCTGAATACATCAGAATAATATGATGGTGTACATATATGACATAACTGTTATTTATTCTTTTATATTATGAAAATATTGAAATTTAACTGATTATGAAGAACATTGGTAAAAATATTTGATTTTTAAGTAACAAGATGAATAGTCGATAAATTTAAGATTGTTTACTATTTTTGGACTAACATCAATCAAAGAATCATCTTAAACCGGGAAATATTGTATATCACAAGGGGCTTTTGTGGATATTATATTAATTTCAATAGTCGAGAACATAAGGGAATTGAAACTAGACCATCATGGAAAACCTGGAATCACTCGACGGCAGTTTCGTCCTATTTTGTGGAACTCCCCAACGGTGCACACCCACAATCCTGCCTCGCGCACGAGTGCTTAACCACTAAATCACTGAGCTAGCAGGCATGTACCAATGTTAATGTCTAACTTCAACTAATTCACAAAATTGAGCGAAACTGTCCAACATTGTCTCCAACGACTGATTATCTCACAACAGACCCGGTTTAAACTTCACTGGTCATTACTTCTCATAAGAATTCCAGTAATATTTATACAACATATTGAATAAAACAAGACACTTAAAACACAAACCTTCCATAGTTTTATTATTTACAAATTCTTTTTGCTGTTGTTGTTGTTGTTGACATTCAGAAGTTGATGATATTTCTCTTTTATTAATGATTTCATTATTTTCATATTGATGATAATGAATATTGTTAATCATCATATTAACATCATTCTCATTCATTACATTCTCTATATTATCATGAATCATTTCATTAGATGAAATATGATTATGTAAATTTCTATTATTATATAATGAATGATTCATGGATTTATCCCATGCAGTCCAATAAGTTAAATGTTGTAATTGTTCATTAGTTAATTGTTTTTCATTTAATGATAATAAACATACAATAATACCACATGTGATAAATGAAAATAATGCAAAATACATATAATGTATATTTTTAATAAACCATGGTCTATGATCATATTCACCACATATTGGTTCATGATATATAATAGTTAATATTAATCGTATTAAACCAATAATTAAACCATACATTAATCCATAAAATGCCCCCTTTACATTAAAAAAAAGGGTTAAGCAACAATTGAATAAACTTTATTAGGTATAATAATAACTTATTAATATGTGATTTTTATATATCTTTCAAAAAAGAAAGTGAATAATGGCTAGTAATGGATTTAGTAGCTAACGGTACTGGGTTCGAGTCCCGGAGTGAACATCAACTCTGAGATGTAGGTACATCCAGCTGAAGAGTCCCAAATAAAACGAAACGCGTGTCAAACTAGATTCCACTACTAGTCACTATCCATCTTTGCTTATAAAAGCAATACAAACAGTATGCACATATACCAATAAGAGATTGATCGATTCCAATCCTAAACACTAATGGGAAGATTCAAACAAGTAATACCAAGTGAATTTAAAACAATAATGTTTCTAGTGAAAGATTTAAAAATTTCATGCTTAATTCTAAAAAAGATGTTAACAGTATTTTATTGTCATAAAAATGCCTCCAAAAGCACTAGTACAGCCGAGGGTGGGCAGAGACAAATCTCCCTTTCGAAATGCTTTCACATGGCCGCATGTATTCAGTCACTGCCAGAGAAGTTCAACTCACTGCTTTCTCGCGGTGGGAGTATTGTTTACAAAATTGAGAGGAGGAAAAGCAAATGTCACGCCCTTTAACTCGGTTGATGGACAGGAAGAGTTCATCTAGGCAATTTGGAAAACCTTGATTCTAAACCAATGGTGTAAATGGGCTCCAGTATCCCGAAGGAATAAGTGGTGTATGAATCAATTATTGTTGACCAGCTACGATGGGACTGCATCTCCTGACGTTACTCCACTGCCTTGTGGATTATACCTTTAGGTCGAAGGCTCTGGGTGTCGCCCTCTAATAAAATTACCTGCTTCGATCTGGGCGCCCGGGCAGTATCATAACCCAGTTCTCACACAGATTGGATGATGAAAAGTGGCGCATATCTATTTGGGGCATCCTTTTACCAATGTTTATGACATTATGGCTTGATAACGTACTTGGTCAGGGCATTCTAGATAGTTTCTATTTCTAATTTGTGTCATACTTAGCAATTCATATACTTGATTTCATATGAACATTCAGACAAGTAACCCTTAATTTCGAAATAAATAGTCCACGTTTTCGAATAAACCAGTACATGATGGAGATTGACTAACAGAAAATATCACTGGTTGGAATTCTGTCTCAATCCGGAATGAATCAACATCACAAACTTCAGATTAAAATGTCTCATATATTAAGTCCAAAATTTGTACTCTAAAAAGTGACATTTAGACTCCTGGTTTTTACCCATGTTTAGTTCTTCACATAATGATTAGCCCGATATGCAGTGGATATGGATGAAAAGTAAACATATCAAAAATATTGTGAGCGGTCCAAATCAATGATTTGCGTGATGTTCAACCGCCAACTTTGTAAAGCTTTTGACCCGATTCTGCAATCCTAAACATTGCGACACCACTCATATCAATAGTTAATAACCTAATTATATAGTGACATGGCCACCTTTAACCCATCGTGTGTCGAAACATGATATGGCTTAGTAAACATAAGAAATGACAGCCGGATTAGATTGGAAATTTAAAACTCTGTACCAAGTCTGAACACTGTTCGATTTGTAGGTCCTAAACGTGTACTGTTCATCGAATACCACAAAGTTTATTTACTATGCTTTCTTTAGTCATTAGTCAATAGTATAAAATGGGTTGTCAGGGTTTACAAACATCTTTTGACAAAAAGTCTGATATCTAATCAGTATCTTATTGTATTGATTGAGACCTTGAACTGATTGGTGTTAGACCACCATTGAAAACCTGGAAGCACTGGACAGTCATTTCATCCTATCGTAGCACTCCTCAGCAGTGCGCGTCCATGATCTCGCTTGCAGGATTCAAACTCAGGGCCTTGACCACTGAGCTGGCGTCTAACGTCGTTAATGTCTGACTTAACCAATCCACGAAATTGCGCAACAATCTTCTATTGTACTGAGGTAGATACCTGTCTCTACCTGACACGGATTGGCTCCACTGTTCACAGCTTCTCACTAGAACTCTCAGAATTCCCTCACGAAGTTAGTCACTAGTATCTTATTAACGCTTAAAACAAATGTTTAAAACAATAACGAATTGATGAATAGATAATAATTAATTACCTTTTCTGTAGTTCGTTTAATTAAAACAGCGCATAAATAAACTGAAGCTACAGGTGGAGCAAGATAAGCTGAAATAGCTTGAATATAAATAAATAATTGACTGCCTTGTAATTCTTGAATGACAGGAATCCATGCAATACTCAATAATATTAATATAATTATAAATATTCTGAAAAAAAAACACAATGAAAACAATACTGAATTGTAGGACAAACTTTCAACAACAAAAAATGCATGGAAACTCTATTATACGGTGGAGGGGAGTGTTAATTTATTCAGAAAACTAATCTGATTAAATATATTAATGGAATAACTTAATATTTATGAATTGACAATGTGTTTTTAGGACTCAACAACAATAAATGATAAGTGTGTTGGTTGTGGTATGTGAAAATTGATAATGCCTTCAACAAAACAACATAAAAACTATTGAAATTTTTATAAATGTGATTTCAATTTTTATTGTTTTCCACATGATTGTGGATCAACTTACTTAGTTACTTAATTTACGTACTACTGTTACTCTCAGTGGAGGATAGGTCACCAACCAGTATTCTCCAACCGACTCTATCCTGAACCTTTCTTTCTGATTCTATACAATGCTTGTTCATTCTTCTCATATCGACCTCCATTTCTCGGCGTAATGAGTTCTTTGGTCTTCCTCTTCTCCTTTGGCCTTGACGATCCCAAGTGAGAGCTTACCTTGTACCCACTTGGGTGCTTTCCTCAATGTGTGTCCTATCCACTTCCAGAGCTTCTTCCTGATTTCTTACTCCGCTGTGATCTGGTTTGTTCTTTCCCACAGTAGGTTGTTGCTGATAATGTCTGGTCAACGGATCCGAAGTGTTTTGCTTAGACAGCTGTTAATAAACACTTGTATCTTCTGGATGATGGTCTTCCGTAGTTGTTCAAGTTTCTGCCCCATACAGTAGAACTGTCTTGACATTTGTGTTGAAAATTCTGACTTTGGTGTTAGTTGACAGTTGTATGGAGCCCCTTCGATGTTACTGTCAGTCTCAAGCCCAGATAAAGGAAGAGGGCTAGGCATGGGGTTAGCGACCCCATCCCGTAGAAAAATAACTCGCTAGAAAACGCTGTGGGTCAACTATTGAAGAATTATTAGTTCGGAACATAACCACAGTTCTTATAAGTTTCATCTCTTAAACCTTTTTGATCTACGTCAGTTATAATAACTATGCATTATTCACAGCACTCCTACAAACAATCGTTGTGGTTTCAAATGTGCTATGTGAATTCAAAAATGGCTACAAAGAAACACGGTCAGTAATAGCTACCCTAAATGACGTACAACATGAATTCGAAAAATAAAGAAATCAAACTTACCGACTAACAACCATTATCTCCATATTCTTTGCTTTTTTCCTAATTTTCAAATAAACGTCAACTGTAAACAACGTACTAGCAGAATTGAAAATCGAAGTTAGATCAGAAATTAATGCAGCTAGCATCACGGCCAACATAAGGCCTCTAAGACCTAGAATTGAAAGTGCAGGATAATTAATCGAAAAGTAAGTAAATAAACATAGGATTATTTTTGTCAACGAAATTTGATGCAGAATGATTATCAATGGTTGTAGCGCTTGCATGAATTGACAAATATTTTGCAAAATATTTCCCACTTCTCCGATATTTGATAAACTTCCTCAATGTGTTCACAGTTTTCTCTTGTCTCTGAGCGTTCATTGGCTCATGAATACCAGTGAACATTATCGACAGGACCAGGATTTCTATTTCAATAATTCGGTGTACCAATGAAGATTGCATTTTGAATTCTGATACCAACAAAGTGATGCACTTTTTAATGGCAACTTTGAATAAGACATTTCATAGGTAGAAGAGATTGTAGACACTCATGGAACTTTGTATGAATTCATAGTTGATTATTTCATTATATAACTTGAGGATGTTTAATAATGAAGTCGTCATATAGCGGCTGAACTAGTAAACAACTTTCGTTGTCTACGATCAATGGGAGACGCTTGTAAATGATGATAAAACATATTCTTGAGCAATCATGACATGAATGTATAACAAACATAAATTTGTTCCATTACTGTACAGGTGGTGCTGAGAATCCTTTACCATAACAAAATGTATAGTAATAAATAAACCTAATACTTATGGTCTTAGGCAACCAGCATAACGAACACTGAATGATATACATGCTAAATAGATAATTAAATCAGTTCAGTCTTCCATTTCGAGTATTCATTTTGTTATGGCATTGAAATCTAGTGGTCAAACCTATCGAATTTGTGAATAAAGTTTGACATTACATTCACATATTATGAAGTAAACGATATATAATGATGAAGCTGAAGATATTCTTCATTACTTTATAGTTGGAAAGTGTTTTATAAAAGAAAAAATTCTTTATCAATATAATATTGTATCTATTGGGATATTCAGAAAGATATCCCAAAAATTATCCTGTTAAGTCTAATGCTATCCTTCAATTGGAATGGCATCATTTTCCTATTTGTCAATACTTATTTCACGTGTCGTTTCCCTACTGATCAGTATTTATTTTACGTGCCATTTCCGTGTTGACCAAATATTGTATAAATGCTATTTTCTATTTTATGGTACGTTGTAGTCTGCTTGATTGGTATATAAACAGAGTATGTTTGAAATATAATGATTCATATCGCAGAGGCTGAGACTTGTGTTCTGGACTCAACTAGCTGGGCTAGACAGGAATCAGAACCAATCAGGACTCTAGGCCGTTCGCACGTGTTCTATGCGTCACTGGTTCAATCGATAATTCGCTGCCGTCTAATCTGCAGACACAAGATATAACAGTATCCTGAGTCGACATATTCAAGGTACATTTTTGTAAGTTTTACCAATTTCACGTGATAAGCTTTGAGAATTAAATATCAATAGATATTGACTATCATCTAGTGACTGATAGGCGCTACACACAGTTATATAATTTGTTTACATTTCATAGAATATCTAATCAGTATTTAAAATATGAATAGCGAATTCAACTAATTATAAGAAAAACGGTAATAATATAAATAGGATGACAGTGGTATAGAATAATGTAAGCGTATTTCATAAAACCTGATGACATAATATTAATTACAAGTTTCGGATAGGCTAAATTTGAGCATCCCCTTCTTTGGATTCACTTGATACATTTGCTTATATCCCATTGTCGTTAAGGCTGAAATTGATCAGTCTCTTGTTGGAACATGTGCATACCACCTGGATATTGCCTTAAGTCACAAGCTTTATAAGCAAAGATGGATAGTGACTAGTAGTGGAATCCAGTTTGACACATTTCGTCCTATTTAGGACTCGTCAGCTGGGTGTACCTATACCTCAGAATTGATGTTCACTCCGAGACTCAAAACCAGTAACATTCGCTTCAAACGCCATCGCGTTATCAACTTAGCTACTGATTACTAACAGCCACTTGCTTGTGCAATGGATTGACGTATAAATTCACTTGATATTGTTTACCTGCATCTTCCCATTGATGTTTAGAACTGCCATAGATCAGTCTCTTGTTAAAATATGTGCATCCCGTGTGGAATGCGTCAATATTGCTTTGATTCACAAGCATTTTGTCCAAAAATTCGAAGACAAACTGGTCCAAGTTTACAACCAATCATGATACTCGTGAGGCGTGAATGCACTAAGTGATATCTACTGTGCTGTTAAGCGTAAATCCTACTTGAAACGGTTTAAGCAAGAATAAAGAAGCCATTCACTTAGTTCAGACATATAATGATTATCCAGTTGATCTAAAACTATAGCTAACTTGATAAAGTTTGAGAATTAGACAAGAGAGTGATTCATAGGGGATACACACAGTTATATAATTTGTTTACACTTTGTAGGAATTATTCAGTATTTAATATGAATAAGAATTCAATTGGTTAAAAGGAAAATAGGTTATTTCATCAAACCTGATGGCATAATATTAATTACAAGTTTCGGATAGGCTAAATTTGAACATCCACTTTTTTGTCCGCATATTCGATAACAATCTGGTCCAGGTTTACAACCAATCACATCTGATAAACAGTAGAAAATAAGAGATATTGAGGAGATAAAAGTAAATGTCTAATTCTACAATTAAAATATTTTAGTCAAGTATGAAAATCATAACACTGCCTGAAGCCTCTCTGGGGCTACTGCTGGTCCCAAGCCCGGATAAAGGAAGAGGTCTGGGCATGGGGTTAGCGACTCTAAAAAAACGCTAACCAGAAAATTATGAAAATCGTACATTAAATACATCATTTACACATGTTTGCTTTGTCTTTTACATACTTCATGATTCCTCTAATTCTTTTGTTATTTCGATGGCTCTCCGATTTACTTCATGTTCTCTTCATTTTAATCTTTTGCTGGTAGGCATTTCAGTACTGATTGCTGTGATATACTACTTATATCTATCAGCTTAAGTAACATATACTATGCACTATCTTACATTGTGTTTATCTCTATTCAACTGATTTTAGTTTGTTTAGTTAGTTATGTATTGCTTCTTATATGCTTGTTAATCTATGAATATGGCGAATAATAATATGTAAATTAGATTGATCACTGTAATAAAAAAATTACTCTTCAATTAAGATCTTCATCGGTAGTTTTGATATACATATACGCATACTATCATATTTGATCATTTCTAAATCCTAAATAGTGCGATGACTGCAATGTCACTATGATATGTACAATAACAAATGTGTAAAACAGTTTGTGAAATCTGTCCATGATACTTAAATGCATCAAGAACATAAATCTAAACTTGGTCTTTATTGAATTTGTCAATGTATTTAACAATTATTCAGTAGTTAACAATCCAACATTTCACTAAATAGTGATCAACCATAACTGTAACTATTTTATAACGATACAACTGAACTATATTGGCTGGAACAATTATTCATTTAAGTCCTACTATACTAGGCAGGTTGGGGTTGGTGTTTTATTTTTAGAGAGTTAGTTTTCTACGGGATCTGGTCGATAACCCTATACCCAACCATCCTCCATTATCTGGGCCTCGGACCGGCAATAATATCAGAGGGGCTGCAGGCGAAGTTTGGCGACCAGTGTAGCAGCAGTAAGTCCTAACATACAAAAATGGAAAAGCAAGATTCTCCGGTACAACACAACATATACCAATCAAACCACACTTGACGGAGAAGCTTTGGAGGATGTAAAAACGTTTACATATTTGGGCAGCATCATTGACGGACACTGTGGATCAGAAGCAGATGTGAAGGCGCGGATTAACAAAGGAAGAGCAGTATATCTACAACTGAAGAACATCTGAAACTCAAAACAACTGTCAACTAACAACCAAAGTCAGAATTTTCAACACAAATACCAAGACAGTTCTACTGTATGGAGCAGAAACTTGAACAACTACGAAAGACCATCATCCAGAAGATACAAGTGTTTATTAACAGCTGTCTATGCAAAACACTTCGGATCCGTTGACCAGACATTATCAGCAACAACCTACTGTGAGGAAGAACAAACCAGATCACAGCGGAGGAAGAAATCAGGAAGAAGCTCTGGAAGTGGATAGGACACACATTGAGGAAAGCACCCAAGTGGGTTACAAGGTAAGCTCTCACTTGGGATCGTCAAGGCCAAAGAAGAAGAGGAAGACCAAAGAACTCATTACGCCGAGAAATGGAGGTCGATATGAGAAGAATGAACAAGCATTGTATAGAATCAGAAAGTAAGGTTCAGGATAGAGTCGGTTGGAGAATACTGGTTCGTGACCTATGCCCCACTGGGAGTAACAGGAGTAAGTTAGTAAGTAATGATAGGCAGGTTTAATACAGAGCAGCGGGACTAAGAGCAGAAAATTTTTGTCCAAAAATGAAGTTGCACTGCTGACTGTACTGAGAGGTGTCGGTAGTAATGTGTTCCCCTCAGGTAACTAGCATTTGCAGTGATGCTGTCTTTCCACAAGAGAGGAGAAAGGTTATAAAAGATTGGTTTTTAAAACTTTGTACCGCATATCACCACACAGGTTTCTATCGCTAGCGATAGATCTTGAAAAGGTACTGGATTAATGATTGTGAAACATCATTGAGTTCCAGTGGCATAAACTGAATTGATAAATCTTCAGAAACTCATTTTGACAGTCTTGGAGAACGATTAAGGTCAATGACAACTACGAAGTAAGCTGGCTAAAGTTTACGTAATGATTTAGTACAGTGGTAAACAATGGAATCAAAATAGATAGAAAGGGCAGTGACAACAGATTATGTTTAACAACTATCCTGACCAATCAGGGAGACAGGCACTCTTTTAACATTACTATAGGTAAGTCAAGAGTTGTTAACAAAGAAAGGATGTTACTGATGAACCGTTTTCTCAATTAGTTATACAGGTTTCACAAAAACTAAAAAGGATAGACTAAATAGGAATTGGCTTACTTGTAAACTAAGAAATGAACTAAACCTTTCAAAAAACTAATAAACTCAAATACAATACATTTGAAACTAAATTGTACAGAAATAACATTTTATTTACCTGGAAACAATATTCGACTTATCATTCCAGGTATTACAATTAAAAATAAAGGTAACTGTTTAATAAGACCGGCCATTAATGTGGCACCCTGAGCATGTGATAAACTTTTTGCAGCTAAAACACGTTGTACCATCATCTGTATTGTATTAAACAAAAACAAAAAAGTTTAACTGTTAAGTTATACAATAGAGAAAGGCTGTAAAAAAGGAGTAGATAGATGAAACATACTGTAGGGAATACCTCGATAAAGCCTTAAGTTACAAGCTTTTCTAAAGCAAAGATGGATAGTGGCTAGTAGTGGAACCCAGTATGACACACGTTTCGTCCTATTTGGGACTTGTCAGATGGATGTACCCACATCTCAGAGTTGATTTTTAGGACTGGAACCCAGTAGTACCGTTCGCTTCAAACGCTATCGCGTTATCCACTTAGCTACTGAGTGTTACTCATAGCTTATGCGCAGTTGTGAATTTATGTCACTATCATCGTTATCATCAAAGCATAGAGGTAGATCATTGCTACTGGTTCTAGTCCAAAAGGTTTATATCTGATACTCAAAATACATATATAACTAGGCCATAAAATCAAGTATAAGAACTGATTACAGTAATTTGAGGATTATATAACTGCTCCTAAGCAATAATATTCTAGGCTATAGTAAATAAAGATATTTGGAAAGTTTAGTATTCCCTGTTATTTTTGACCTTTCATTACACATTGATATTCAAATGAACTACAAACAAGTGTTAACAATAAAATAATATACGGTCATCTTTCAAGGTATACAACTTGGTTAATTGTTATTTACGATGACATACCTGATCAGTACACCAATACCATATAGATGCAGGTGTTTGGCCAAGTAAAAATCCAAGCCATGGCATATCAGGATCATCAATTCCACGTAATAATACAAATGCATTTTCAGGTGGTAGACTACATCTCAGACTAGGATTGACATCTGGTGAACTTGCCAATTGAGTTAGTGAAGTATAATTTGTTGTGTTAAGAACATTCGCCAAACTGATTATTATGTCTGAATCTGTACTTGATGAGATATTTATCGGGGCTATAGCATGACCATAAGAAGAAAGGACACCACTAAAGCCTCCAACATTTATGTAGCCTAGATAAATAAACAGAAAAATGAAATTTCAGCGTTTAAGTGTAAATATAACTAAACCGACCACTTGTGAAATTCCTTAAAAAATATTTGTAACCATAGTATTTGCAATGATATTTGAAGAGAAATCTAGGTATTGTTTCACACTTTACGTTTGACGGATACTTAACGTTTCTTGATTACAGTAGTATTGACGTTTTCGTCTTTTGAATAGTTGTGTTTTAAATTCTAAAAAAATAAACATTTAACATTCTTATTTTTAAACTGTATCTTCAACAAAATAAATCGTACCAATATCAAAACATGGTATTATTCCATAAAGACATTGACATTTGGAGTTATCCATCCAGGTAGATTCGGACCAACTAGATAAAGCACGTGTGATTATCGTAATTTGTGATTGGAGACCTTGGATGACACGGCTCAAAATCATTCGCAGGTGTATCCACTTTCTGTCTTCTTTTAGATCCTAAGATTTTAAATTCTTCATAAATTCGTCTGATTATTTTACTAAATTTATTTTTTCCGGGATCGTATCTTCGATCCTTAACTTCTATAATGAATAATACTGTTATTACGTCTTCTACTCCGAGATTCTCCCTGGTGATTCACTTTTGTTGTGCTAAAGTCAGTAACAACGTAGAACTTCGTACATACGTACATCAGTTCGAGTTGTCATACCACATTAACACTCAGATACAATTGTCGATTAAAATCCCATAGTCGTAGAGGTAGTAAAAGTATAAGCAGCAACAAGAAACATTAGGGATTGAAAATGTTATTCAAAGAGTATAATACAGTGAAATAAATTGGGAAAGGGAAAAAAATAAAGGGACATGAAGAATTTAGATGATTAGAATTTGGGAGAACACAAGGAGTGGATGCACCCGCATAATTGCAAACGACTTTGAACCATGTCATTCAAACTCTCTAACCACCAGTTGCTATCGTCTCGCCGATCCCAACCAGGTAGTTTACACCTACCAACATGGCTCAGTCCGCTTGTCAGTGACTTCATGGATTTGTGCCATGTTTTGTTGTGGCTGCACTTAGCTCCCTTCCAACCTACTCCCACACCATAATACGTCGCTCGTCGGGACAGTCGTTGGTTGGGAATACGTAACACATATCCCAGTCATCTCAATTGATGAAGTTTCACTACTTTATCAATTGATTTGTCATCCTTACCCAGTGCCGTTTCCTAACAACTCCATTACTTACTTGGTGGTCCCAGGATATACAAGCATGCATCGAAGACCCCTATGATCAAATACTAGTAACCTACGAATATCCTCTACTCTTAGCGGCGATGTGGTACAGCAGCTTGCAGCTACGTAAACTTGTCAGGCTTTGTGTTGCGCATGACACTGCATTTATATGTTGGGAAGTAATAGCTCGGAGGAGAACAGGCGACGTTGTAGTTACTAGTAGTCATAGCGAAAGTAAAAGGGGACTACATAAATGTAAGGAAATTACTAAACGGTTGTATAATTATTCCACATGAATAGAAAGGAAAATGAAATTCGTATGAAAATCGGTAAGAACATGTTGAAGATGAAAATTAGAAAACGAAAAACCCTTTTAAAAAAACTCAATGGTTATTTGATTAAGTCTTAGTTACCATGCCAGAGGAAGACTGATTATTTTATTCTTCGAAGTTTATTGTTCTTGCACTGTTTAAAACCATGAAACGATTTACTGTCAACCCAGATAGCTGGCTAACAAACTCTTAATGAAATCAATAATCAATCGTGGACTCCATTACTAGCCACTACGAAACATGTGTTGGGACAAATGAACCTTTTAAAATGAGCTATCCAACATGCTATTTCTTCAGAATTTTGAGGATAGAAAATCAAATTCAATCAGTTATTAGTAACATTAGACCTGAAGCATATATATCGGTCAAGTTGCTGTAGCGACCAACATCATGCATCAAGGTAGACGGCGGTTGTATTTCTATAAACTTTGAATAGCTCTTGTTTTAATATTTATAAAAATCAATAAAATATTTCGAATTGTTCTCGGATTGATTCTAATAAGCTTATATGGTATAAATCAGATCTTAGCATTAGAACATCAGTGAAGTATATACTGCCAAATAATATTTAACCTTTATTGACAGGGAGATTAGTTTTAAAATTTCTATATACTGGTTAGTTGGAGAAATGACTTGTACAGTAAACTTTATATCATACTCTAATCTTAATAACGACACCATTAAGTGCTGATGAAGAATAGTATTAATTCTCTTTTAGTTATGGCATTAGATATTTGTTTGGTATAGACTTATATTATAAACTCGTCAAACTATTAGAATTAGTGAACTATCTTGTTCTACATCATCATATGGTATGAATGTTAAATTCATCGTCGAATCCATCTTCATCTCTATATTGCCGTTCGTATGCAATTTTTCATTACGTTAATGAATAAGCAACAACTGCTTAATGATTCTCATATTTCAAGTAATTAACCAACTTAACAGGAGCTATTGGCATTATATTAGGGCTAAAAAAGAAATAAAGAATATGACAATAAAGAATTAGCTATCACCATTAAATCAGAACACACATGATCTTAGCTCAGAGAGCTGAGAAGCAAATCAGAGGTAATTTGTATTTGGTATTTATGAAACTGTTAAACATAGAGTTCCAGTTCTTGATATCTATTGAGAAATACATTCGTTTTGATAGGAAAAATAAGAATCGAATAAGTTACTCCAGATAAATCCATTTTCAATGACTATCTCAAAATTGTTTGGCTTTAAAGCTTCAATAGTAGTTAGTCAATAAACTTACTTATTATCGCTAATATTAAAGCACCAATTATCATCACGAAAAATTGTAGTGTATCTGTATATAGAACAGCTGCTAATCCACCTGAAACAATTAAGAGTGAATAAATGAAATCGGTTATCTTCATTATGAATTAATATTGACATTATTCTGAACAATATTTTTCATGTTTTTGGGATCCTCCACATGGATAATGTTCGGTAGCTCAACAAACTTTCTATTCCAGTCTTGTCTTCTCACCCAAATAGTCAGTTTGAGTGGCTAATGCGTAGGATGTTGTGTATCAGTATCAGATCTTGAACACTGATCATCATAACAAAACCATGAACAGTCGCCTTTCTGTGTATTTCCACAAGCTGTTTACAATGGACTGAAAAATAATGTTGATCAAGCAATTCAGATAAAATCTTTTCCTGTTTCACTACTGAAACGAATAAAGAAGTGTACAGCTTGTTCAGAAATCTTATGCTTCCTGAAAACTCCACCATCTTCAACCTACTTAGAAGCTGTTACCGATTACTTCCATATACTCTGCCTCGATAGATATAGAACAGCTCATTTCGTGTTTTGAATAATAAAGATTCAATCTATTACTAAACAGTCAATCTGTAAAGCATATCCTCGTGATTGCTTTTTTTGCTCATATAAGCACTCTAAAACTTGCGCAAAATCTATCTAAATCTTGTTTTTCACTTACAAACTGTTAAAAACCTTTGTATCACCCCTAGTTTTAATAGAGACTACTTTAACCATTCGCGTACACAATTCAATATCTTGCTAATCAAATTACATAACTCTAGTATTTGTCAGAAAAACCAGCGGTCTCAAGGATATAAACCTTATCAGTTTCAGGAATGCCATCAGTTACCAGACAATGTAATTTGTATGGTAAACTATACCTCAATATTCTTGCGATTTTCTTGCCCGTATTGTCACAGATGCGGTAGAGTCAGACCATTATAACTGGTTTGCGACCGTTACAGCTAGTTAAATACTATAGTTTCCATAGTTTCTGGATAGAACTCACTTAACTTAACTAGTAGAATAAAGTTATTGATACTTGTCATGTCTTACGGTAGGAATTCAAATTTGACAGTAAATTCAACACAATATAATGATTATTTTAAGCCATAATCTGATTGAATAAAAGAATTCTAAATGAAGATAAGAATTGGATTCTAAAACTAACTATGTATACAATTGAGTGAAGCAATCTATAATAAACCTAAATACCTATCCCTTTATGTGGTCTTATTGTGACTGGAATTCATCGTTGATGATAATTGTTTTAAAATTCAACAAAATTCATCAGTTTATTACGCTGAAAATAGAAGCAGATATGAAAAGGATGAACAACAATTGGAAAGAGCTGGAAAGGATTGCTCAGGACAGGGTTAGATGGAGAGTGCTGGTGGGCGGCCTATGCTCCTCCACGAGAAATAACAGGCATAAGTAAGTGAGTAAGTATCAGTTTATCAACTCTGGAATGTTCAATACATTTATCAGTTTAGTCATCTAAAAACCCATTAAATTCTATTTAACATTAATGCGTGATTTATGGAGTACTAAGGTCATGCATGACATGAGTTAAAACTGACTAGTTTTCTATGCTTATCTCTGCTTTTTGCTTTAAATAGGAAACTAAGACAACATTATAACCAATTTGAAGGCCTATATTATTCATGTTGAAATCATTCCGTTGAGGAATATTTATTTCTATTAACTATGAATAGTTCTCAGTACGTTAGAATCTATTCACTGTACCTTGTAAGTGACTTGAGTAAATAAAACAAATATAGCAATCAGATCAAGAATGGTAGCTTAACCCTAAACGACAAACTGATTCAATTGCAAACAGTTGGAGAATTATTGGGATTTTGATTGAGTTATGTTCACTGAGCTAGGAGGTTTCAAATGTGAAACTCATTATTTTCCAGAAGACATCATCAGAACAAACTTCAGATGGAAGTGAGGTACATGGATTTATCTACGTATGACTAGCAGCTTGTTATGTTGACCTTGATAAAATGCTGCTGACCTCTATTTTGTCATTGCTTGCATATTTATCTTGATTGTCTTTCACTGACCTGAATCTTGATTTTTTAATTGATTCCTCTAAATGATTAATGAATTGGATCGATTTTGATATGTTTATTGATTGTTGATTGAAATGAGTGCCAAGATTCTAGAAATTATCTAGTTATCTTGGTAGTTCCTCTCTTCCAGATCTCATCATTTTCCAAGTTGAACGTGTCTTCACAATTGTCTACCATCAATGATATAAACGAAATACATCGCTAGTTGGTGTTAACGCAGACGAAGCTGAAGAGCGCAGCCACTTCGTTCGATTTAATGTTTCTAGTAGTTAGGGCAATTTATTGTCTAAACGGTGTTTGCCATTCTTTCTTTTTTCACTTTATAATTTGGTTGGTATAAAACTGATTGGTTTATCAGCTATGCCTATTTCGAAGAGATGTAATAATCTGGATTTAATTTCCCGTAAGTTGTTTGTTGTCGGTTTGGACACTTAATTCTGTCCCTGTTGATGAGTTTGATAGACATTCTTTGGAGAAGTTGTGCGGATAGATCATATCTTAAAATGTCATTTGATATTTTTCTTCATTTTCTCATAATGTAGACGTGCTGCAGAGGACACTCAAAATTTAAACAAAGCTTTAGCGTCATTGTAGTTAAATACCTGATGTGTGGAGTGGTTTTGAATAAACCCGAGTTAAATATCATCGCTCGTTCTCTATTATTCGAGATCATTTCCTCCTATTAACCAGTATCTCTTGTGTCTCGATACAGGTTGTAACTAAAATCAAGTCTTCTCTTTTGCTTCTCATCTTATTCATCTTCTTCTTCTATGTTGTCGTGTAAGTTATGGCGAATAGATCACACATATATTCCAGGTTTTGTATTGACGATGACTAAATGACTCGGTTTTGTGAAGAAATTCAAAATACAAGGCTCTCTTGGTGCCATGCGAAACACTATGACAGTGATGTCTTGAAATTGACGATAATAGCTCCTGGATGTAAGTTGAATACTGAGATAAGACAATTCCTCTTTAATCCTAGCCCTGTTTACTCTAGAAAGCTTGTGTCATGAAGATACACAAGTGAAGACTAAAGAACATTGACTTAAGCATACAGCATATGTATATAAACTAATGTACAAAGACTTCAAAGATAGAGTAACTACTTTTTATCGAAAGAGAAGGAAATGGTGTTTTTGTATGAGGTATATAGGAGGGATTACCATCGCGGCGATCTTAGGAACTAGAATTCCGATTCCCGTACATAAAGATAACTTGTAAGTAGTTTCAGATTAACGTTCCCGACAAAGTGTTTTAGATGGGCTATTCTTTGTCTGAATGTCAAATATTGCTTCAGCATTCATTTGCATCAATACCCAACCAAATCATGTAGACTGGATTAGTTTATGCTTTTGCATAATAGCAGAAACAGGGTTTCAAAGAGAATGATAGGAGAGTATTATAACCTTTTTATGTGCTTTTATTCAAAGAGTAGATCTCTGTCCAAAAATACTTCTTTACAGAAAAGTTACAAATTTTTCTTCGAAGTGAAATTATTTATTTTGAAGTATATTTCAGCAACTCAAGGACGTAATACTCCTTTCCACACGTAAAGCGGTAAGTTGAACAGCAAGGATCGCAAATAAATATTTGTATTTTCTATATAAATTGAGATTGATTTAAAAACTTTTATAATGACAAAAATGAACTTGACACTTACGTTTCCTTTTGACACTCGTTAGGAACGATCTTACAACGAAACTCCTATATTTAAGCAAATACAATAGAGTAAACTGAAATGCATAAGGTTGGTCATTTAAATTCATTTTATAAAACTTCCCACACCCAGCAAAACAGTATATAAAGCCAACGCACATTGATGATTATGAAACCTACTAATTGATTATTGTATATTTAGTTAGACACAATTTCGGTCGTTCAGAGACTATAATAACTTATTCAAATAAACGTAACGATTCGAATACATCTTGATACTTGTTTAAAATTTAGACAAAATACCCACGGAATCTTACCGGTAACAGTAATAAGACCAGTCAGGAAAAGCAGCATAACTATTGATGCCCAAGTATTCCATTTTAATGCTTCAGTTAAAAACAGTGAACCTGAATATAAATTGACCTAAAATCAACAGTTTACAATTATATACTTGCATGGATAATATCAACTATTGGTAACAAATCATTTCATACACATAGTTCCTTTATCATTTTGAAAAGAGCAAGAACAAAGATTCTAGCAGAATAGCATGAATTCAGTTTATTTCGTAGGTTCTCGTCAGCTGCTTACAACCTGTGATATTTAAAAATCATAATTACATAACGGTTTAAATTGCTTACATGGGAGGGTTTGTTTGGAAGTTATATTGAAGACATATTTGTAAAGTATATCATAGGTGTAAATGAAATTAATAGACTGAATACTGTAAATATATACCTAATGTGAAAGAATATTCTACAGCATTAATTGTGGTAACAGTTCAAAAGGGGTTAGAAACAGTTGGTTACATGATGAATAAACATTGATAGAAATATAGTGAGTAGAGTTCATTTGAAAGATCATTAATTTTAAAGATAGTTAAAAAATTAAAAAATAAAATCAATGACGTAATAAATACAGAAGAAAAAAATTTTAAGGTGCAGCGACAGAATATTTGTGACCAAGGCAACGAGAGATTAACAACCGTCTCCTTTTGAACACATAGGTCAGGTTTTGACGCCTGATGGCAACTGCTTCAGCAAACTTCAGAAGACTGGAGTTTGGCTGCTTAATAATCACCCTAAAGGATTGTAAGGTATCTACTTGATGTCCTGTATCAAGGAGATGTTTGGTGATTGCACTATTCAGAGTCTTTCTTTCACTTGTTCTAAGACTTTTTGGAACATTTTCAAAAAATCTAAGATATGCTCTCCTATCAGTTCGGCCGATGTAGCTGCTTTGGCAGGTACACGTAAATTTATAGATACAGTTGGCGATAAAACGACAAGAGCTCCTTTTCATGTTACTTCCAACTGTAACCCAAGGAAACAAAAGCGATTAGATTCGGGTGCCTGTTATTTTTACAGGTTGTCCAAATATTATATAACGTGTTTCAAGGATTTATCGCTTTCACATTTTGAGCTAGTACATAAAAGTTGTAAAGCGTCTGAGCCAGGTTAAGAAATGGGGTGGTTTAGCTTTATTTTCAAAGACGATGTCTTAGCACACTTTGATGGATTAGACTTTGATCATGTTTGTGGTGCAAAAACAATAATATTGTTCATCTAAGAAAGTTATCTGACCTCAAAGTCTAATTGGAAGGAATTGAAGTTCAGATTTTTAACAACACTAAATAAAGACTTGTCTTCGAATAATATTTCTAACAAACTCCGCAAACTGTGTTTTTGACTAACTGTTAAGAGAAATAAGACATAGTCATTATGTAGTAAATTCGATCTTCAGTTATCGCTTTTGGTTTCAAGATGTACGCAATACCCTAAGCTTCTTAGTATTTGTATTTAAATATCTTTTCTTGACATGAATTGATTGATTTTCTGACAACATGATGATCAAGACTTTATTTTTTATGATACGTTCCAGCCCACCAAGAGATGACCTCAAGTATTGGTGTATCAGAAACAAGAAACTAGTTTGATACTAGCTTTGAAACTCACGCTGATGGGCTATGAAAACCACGACAGAAGCAGACTTAAAAATATAGTGTAGAACTTCTTAACAGTGACTGAGAGCAACAGTGCGTAACAAAAACAAATGAGGTAGAGAAGTATTAAGGATCACAAGTGATTGATCACTGGGTGGCGATCAATGTCATGCATGTCTGGTCCTTATTAGTGCAGACCGAATGCTATCGATCATGTTGCATTCGATCTGCACTAATAAGGACTAGACACGCATAACATTGGTCGCCACCCAGTGATCAATCAATTGTGATTACATCTCAGTCCTACAGGAGGTCAGTCGCGGCCCGGATAGCTCAGTGGTAACGTCTCTGACTGTGAAGCTGGGTGACAAGCGATCGAATCCACCAGAGAGCACCAGTTCCCTCAAGATTACAGGTACACCTTGCTGACGAGTGCTAAGTAGCACGAAACCCGGGTCCAGGGTTTCCTGTCGACTACCTCCAACCACCATCTAATCTCAAAGTATTAAGAATGTTTAACGCCAGACAGCCGTTAAGACTGATTGAGTTCACAGCTAGTGAAGCAGTTGTAAGAAGGGATAGAAGTTTTGTCTGTTTTCGAGCTAACCAATGAGAATGATGGACGGGACACTTTGGAAATAATTTTAACTGTCCACTAGTTAGGCTTCAGTTGCGCAATTCCCCCCTTGGTGTGACTGAAAAATCAACATAATCGTATAGTCAAAAACATTCGGATCGGTCATATTAATTCACGATTATCAGGGCATTTCAATTTCTCATTTTTATTGAGATCCATCACTGCTAACCTCTAGAAAACGGTACACTTAAAGCCTGACTAATGTAACACCAAAATTAAATGAGTGGCAACGTTTGATAACATAGCCAAAAATCTATCTCGGCGGTAAAATCACATTAGTACTTTACCTTTAATTAAATTTCAGGTTAAATATCATCGCTCGTTCTCTATTATTCGAGATCATTTCCTCCTATTAACCAGTATCTCTTGTGTCTCGATACAGGTTGTAACTAAAATCAAGTCTTCTCTTTTGCTTCTCATCTTATTCATCTTCTTCTTCTATGTTGTCGTGTAAGTTATGGCGAATAGATCACACATATATTCCAGGTTTTGTATTGATGATGACTACATGACTAGGGTTAGTGAAGACAAAGACAAAAGGTGGAATTTTTTCAATATTTTGATTAACAATGTAAGTGTTTGGGCCAAGTCACGTATCCTCTGAATGCCAAATAAATCTTCATTGGCCGTCTGCATCGATGCCTAATCTGGCTAGTGAGTGAATTAGTTGGGTATGTTGATCAAAAATGGAGAATATATCAGCGATAACATCTTTGTATAAATATATGTTAAATAAATATACAAATATCCGCATGAATACACTTCGAATGGCCAAAAATACACAGATGAATAGGTTAAAATCTGTCAACTTACAGAAATCTTTGTAAAAATATATAGTATGAGAGACAAAAGAGCGAGATACATATGTATTCTTTCTCCGCCATATCGTTTCTTCATGTACTCAGGCAATGTAAATACCTATAAGAAATTATATGATCCGACGGCAACGTACTCCACTTGCAATATACACAGGCAGGAATACCCACCCAAGAAGTTGAAGTAAAATTGACGCCTTAAAAGTAAAGTACAGCACGTCATTTTATCATAAGGTTATGACGTAAAATGAATAAATAATGAGATTTTTATAACCTATATGCTGAACAAATAATATGGCAATAAGATAATATCTTGCCGATAGTTTGCTTTTATGCAATAAGTGAGTTACTGAAAACTTTACTCACATTCAGTTCAAAAGCGCCAACCGCTATGCCAGCTGCCGCTCCTGATCCAGCTAAACCAATAAAATGTTCGCTTCCAATGTTACTCGCAAATAATGATGCACCGACCTTTGTTATTATTATTTAATCAACATAGAAGACTTACAGGAAGCCATGTCATAAACCGGCCAGCTAAAAAATAACCAGTAACAGTCCCTCTTCTGGATGCAAACAATGCCTGATAAAAACTATTATTTTACAAAATACAACAGAACTTACATATATTCCAGTACACAATAAAGCTACAAAATATATCACGAGGACTATAATGTCTAATACATTGAGGTTCATTATGTGCAGATTGTTTAACTAAAACTACACAAATAAAGCTTAAGTCGAATGAACAGCACCAATCTCAAGTATTGAAGAACAACAAACTTACGAAATTTCGTGTAACTTTCAAGTGAGCTCTAGCTGGTATCTATTACCTTATACACAAACCAAACAATGTCTCATTTACTCCAACAGAATTCTTAACCGTCACACAGAAAAGCGTGAATGTATCAACTAAATTTGAGTGATTAAAACACTCTCCCACCTGAACGATCCGACAGATTTCGGTGAGTTAGTGCAAGACAACAATATTTTTGGGTCCGATTTTTGTTATTTTGGTATGGTTACAGGTCTCTTGCAACGTCCGATGTGCGGTAGTCCACTCCATTGTACCGGTTGTAGTTAGTTTGGTAGTTATTTGTGAGTTTTGATACCTTCGGATCAAATTAAATTCACCTCTGTTATGTCATCCGTGTTTCTAGATTAATTACTATTGCATTTCCAGCCTGTGGGTTAGTCGGTTACGACCTGCTGAAATAATAGACAACTAATTTGAAGTAATAGTAAATCCCGAGAAATTGTTTTTCAAGTCTTCATGATTGATGCTGATATCACTAGCTTTACTGGACACACACTTCACACCAGATGACATTTGGATAAGCCATGCTCAACGACTCTCATGGCAAATAGTCAGCTTGGATTGCATACACTCCAACAAATCAACCATCGTTCAGAAAAAATACTTCCTTACTCGTTCCATGCCGACTTTCTATTTGGACGGCCTCAGACTCCTCGCGTAAGAAGAGGTTTGGGATAGTAGTACTGACGAATACTTAATATCAGTAAAATCTTCACAATTAATCAATTAACAAATAATGCAAGCAGTGTGAGGAAACCGACATGCACTAATAACAGGTAAACGGAGGTGATAAGAGGCGGAAGAAAAATCAGCTGGTGATGTGCTAATGATAGTGGTGGATAAGTTACGAGACGTACATTATGCGAAGCTGATGCGCATGAAAGATAGTGATCTCCGTGTTCTCCAAGTTTTCTCTTGGAGCTCTCTAGTAAGGTAACCATGGTCAGCTCTGCTGGGGGAGCATTCGAAATGGAGAACAGGTGTAGGCTCACTTTAACTTTCACTACGTCATGTTCCTTTTTGTAGGAGTCGCTCGTGGAGCGTTGTGTTGGAGTGGTTTGGGGTGCACTTGGTGTTTTAAGTCATTTCAGATCACATCTTAATATCCTATAGCCCAGACAGAAGAATCCTAAACATCAGGGTCTATCTCCGAAAAATTTGTTTTTCAGTTTGTTTCCATACTTCATCTATGAGATTTACATCTCTTAAGATGAGTGGGGATAAGAACCTTGTAAACTTCGGGGTGAGCTTCATACATCTATTTCCGTTTCATTCTCAGTGTAACTTTAGCTGGTTTCCAAGCTCTTCGTGGCCGATGAACCTGGATTGTGCTGTATAGAAACGCCTTTAAACAAATCACGACTTGTTTGTCTTTTGAGTATGGAAGTTTACATTTTGAGACACCAAATGTTCTTTTTAATGTTCATCGCCCATAGTACTATGAAGTTCTTTAGGAGCTTCAGTAAATCCTGCTCGTTACAAAACTTCATATCTCAGCGATGGTCCGCAACACATTATAAAGATGACACAAGTATTCGGACTTTGACAACGCCTTATCCAGTAACAACTTTAATAATCAAAACATGCCAACCCAGTGCAATCAGACGTCAGAAGCGAAGAGATTTGAAAACATATTCTATAGAACTTCAGTATGTCGAGAAGTGACTAATGTAAGCCGGCTAGCAATTGTAGGAGAAGTAAAGCATGTTATACCCACTCGTGATCTGGTGCGGATGCTTGACCAAACGCCTTTAGTTGGGTGAGTTCAGCAAAACTAATGCGGTCAGCGTCAGATGTTGAGGACTTACAGAGGTATTGATTTCGGGGATTTATTTATCACTACAAACCACTGCCCTCTAGCAGGGCAATGATGACTCTCAGACGTGGTCAGTCAGAAGTTAAAACCCAACGAGTTTGTCATTGGTAAACAATCTTCTGATAGCTTGTAATATCCAGCAATATCTGGTCGTCTTTTCTTAACATAAGGAGTCACGTAATACAAAATAGTAATGAAAAATAGATACAATTATTATATAAATTCATCGTAAACTTCATCGCTTTTTTCATCTATTCCAGCCGTCCGAGAAAAGGATGAAAGAAATGTGAGTGTATGTCAAATTACACTTGTGAGTATCCAAAGACATAAAACGGGCGAAAAATGAAGATAACGTTTTATACATGCGTTTCGTAAACGTGCGATAACGTTAAAATGATTTTCGCAGAATGATTTTTGTTTCTTTTTGAAAATGCAAAAGCATACACATACTAACAACAAAACATTATATCCTTTGGAATGACGAATAAATATGTATCAGCATATTCAAAATATTTCGTTTTTGTTTTGCTTTTTGACTCAATAATATAAAAAAGTTGGACGAAACTAGTTGTATGTAGTTTATGTATTCTAGAAACCTCACTCTTCTTCCGGAACGCATTATTTTGAGTCGATTGTCCGATACCACCGATCTGTCGTCGTGATTGTTGATTATTGGGTATGGTATCGTAATTGCGAAACTCGTATCTTTCGATTGTACCCAAGAAAAACCGGCACGAATAGGGTTTCCTTCTGAACACACGGCTTTGAGGCGATCGATACTGATGCTGTCGTTATTTCCGTTCTTATCGATTACATAGTACTTAGGTTCACGCTGAAGGACTTCTAAGGGTCTTTTATATGTCGTTCCGAGAGTTTGTCGAAGGGAGTCGCGACGCGTATGATATATTATAGGGCAGGTTGAACAAAACATCAGTTGACTGCGGTCGAGTGGAAAAGGATTTAACTGAACGCATGGCGTTTGTAGACCTACTAATGTGGGAGTTTAGATCCATATTCATCGAAGATGAAAGATCCACGAATTCTCTTTGGGAGTAGGAGTCTCTCTCTACAAACGAGTTGAGCTGCAGTGTATCTAACGTCAGCTTTAACGGAATCGCGGATACCTAGTAAGACGAATTGATGAGCATCGGTTCACCATGAAACGTATGTTGCTGGAAGTGGGGCATTCAGTTATCAGCGAAAGCGTTTTATCTTTCCGTTTGTTTGTGATTGGTAGGCGGTCGTTCGAAATCGTGTGATTCCTGATAGTGTGGTCGGACAACGGAAAAGTCCCGATACTAACTGGCGTCCATGGTCTGTTGTGATGGTTGAAGGACAGCTGAAATTTGCCTTCCATCGACAGATGAAGGCGTGATCCACTGTTGTAGCAGCAACGGGCTTGATAGCTACTGCTTCTGGCCGTGGAGTGAAGTGATCTACTCAAGTTAAGAGACAAGAGTATTCATTTGAATGTGGTAGGGATTCTACCGAATCTAGATGAACATGGTCGAAGTGAGCGTCGGGAGTTTTGAATGAGCCTAAGGGACATTTGTTGTGCTTAATCGCCTAATATTTCTTATAGCCTTCACAGGATTGTGCTCAATCCCTCACATCTTTATTCATACTAAACCACAGAAATCATCTTGCTGTGAGCTTGATGGTTGCACAAACACCTGGGTGAGAAGGTTTGTGCAACGTAATGAAGACATTGCAAGGATAATGTTTCGGAACGATTAGACGAACTCTACCTGTCGATGTGTCGCATAGTAGGGTTTCCTTACCTGTTACTATCTGTTAAATACGTAGTTTCAGGGTTGTCGAAGATAACTCATGATGAAGTTTGGCGTCTTCTTCTTTAAGCTGAGCGAATTTATGAGGTAAGATTCCTTGGAAAATGTTCAAGGAAGCGTATGCAATGCCTTACCTCGATTCATTGTCTTGCAACCGTCTCTGAAAGAATGCCGAAGGTTGCCAGGTGTAGTCAACCTATTGTTGTAAGACTCCTACGATAGCCCAGTCGGATGTATTTACTGCGATACTAATGGGTTCTTCGGTGTCCTGATGTGCAAGCAACGTTGCATTGGCCACAAGTTCCCTAACTTCTGTGGTCGGTTCTGGGTAATATAGAAAGTGTGTCGCTTTGCTTTTATAGGTTATATTCCTTGCGCATGAATAGCAAAATCGAAAAAATCTAGAGGGTCGGCGCCGAATAGACAGTTCTAAATGTTTAGAGTAATGCCGTGTTTTCGCAGTCTTTTAGAGACAAGGTCCAGATGCTAGAGATTAGATTCTTTGTCCGAACTTGCAACCAAGCAGTCAACAACATGTGCAAAGTTCAGACCTTAAAAAATGCCATCGGTCAATCTGTGGAATGTTTGCGCAGCATTTCTTAAGCCGAAAAGCCTTGTGGAAAGTTCGTAGAGACAAAAAGTTGTGATGACGACGGTTTTGGGGATATCGTCAGCAGATCTTGGAATTTGTTTAAGTGCTTTAATCGAGTTGATTTCCAAAAAATACTGTTGTGCTTCTCAAGGTAGCCGTCAAGTCGTGAATATGAGGCGATGTGTAACGATCAGAAGTGGTTTCCACACCCAGTCTCCGATAGTTACCAGATGAACGCCACTCACTGCTGTCCTTTTTAGGGACCATGTGCAAGAGAAACCCCAATGGGCTGTTTGATGGCCGACTGATTTCTAAGTCTACCATGTGGTCGAATTCTGTGTTAGCCAACCTCAGCTTTTCGGGAGCTAGTCGGCGAGCCTTCGAGGACACTGCTGGTGCTGTAGTCATGATGTGGTGTGTAACATTGCTGGTTATACGCGGTGATTTTGGCGGCATTCGGTATTCCTCTGGCTACTTATTGAGTTTTTGTTGATAGCATGAATCGGTCGCGTGCCTTACGGCGACTGAAGACAACCTACAACCAGAGAAAGGAATTACACAGACGGAAAAATAAGTATTTCTATCTTCTAACCTCTGTTCAATGTTGTCGATGAGGTGATTATGATATTGTAGCAGGTCTAAACCAATGACTGCCACAGAAAAATCTGCAAAACCTAAGAT